ATCTCACCAACTTACATCACAACATCAAAATCACACATCTAATTATTTATCAATTACATAAACATTACATGATTAATTATTTATTTAACCAAAAAATTACATCTTTATTAATAATAAATTAATCCTTAAACAAAATTATTAAATATAAACTAGGCAAACGTGCATTGCACGTTGCTTGCACCTAGTATATATATATATTATGAACAGAAATTAGCTTCTGTTTGGTACCATTAAAAATTTTGATTAAAATCTAGGTTAAAATCAAAAATTAATTTTAATCACACATTTCATTCACAAATTTTCAACAACACTTTCCATTAACTTTTATCACGTATGTTAAAATTTTGATTTTAATCTCTACTAAATATGGCCTTAATATTTTGATTCTGCTGATTACTGATTTCCACGTGTCAATGTAAATTACCAGAAAATCCACAAATTTAATTCTGGAGAATTGAAATATTAGATTAAAACACTAGAGTTTGTACGGGTGGTGTGAATTGTCCAAACAAGATTTGTGTCAGATTAATTGAAAAATGGGAAAAGCCATTTGTACCCGGGCGTTTACACGCCCGGGTACACGGGCCCACTGCCCCCCTCACAATGAGGGCCCCCCGATGTGAATTAAATAATGGCGGGCCCCCCTCAATGTGAGAGGGGGGGCATGGGGTCGGGTACACGGGCGGTTCTTGAAAAATCACATGCTTCAAGAGGATACTATGTTAAACTGCATAATCTTGTCCCATCTATCAATGCTGAAGTACTGGAATCAAAACAAAAATTTCAACTTTAATAATCGAATCCTAAAATTGAATCAATCTTCGATGTGTACTAGAAATTTGTCAAAATGAATCATCAAATAAAATGGCCATTATTCCGAGAAAATGGAATTTTAAATAGTGATTTTTTTTTGCAAAATATTTTATGTAAATGTTTGATTGATCAAAGAGTTTTATTTTAAAAGGAATCAAAGAGAGGCTAAATTACACTCAGTTTATAACTTATTCCGAACTCCATAAAACATTAAAAAGACTCGAAAAAACATACTGAATGAACAGATAGACATGTTCTCATGCTATTGATAAAGCTTTACAAATCTCATGCTGCAAAAGCAAGTTAAAAAACATACTGAATGAACAGATAGACATGTTCTCAGGCTATTGATAAAGCTTTACAAAGCTCATGCTGCAAAAGCAAGTGACAAGCCGGTAGAGTAAGAACTTGCAAGTGGTGGCTTATTTGCTTTCTGTGGCCTACCATTCATGTGGCCTGTTGTGGAAATCAATGGCAATGGTAGGCCCTCTGGCACGAGTTTCACGGGTTGCGGCCCCACACTCACCGCCTTCTCATGTCGACAGCTCAACAATCCGTTCCCCTTCCTCTTACTGGCTTCATTGCTGCCAGAGCCATGGCCGCAGGTGGCTTCGCCATTTTTCTCCTCCGATCTTTCCCTTAGAAATGCTACATTTCCAATTTCTGAGGCGGAGACGGAGAAGTTGGTTACGCTTGCCCTGTCGAAGCCCTCGGCAGTGGTGACACTCCAGTCTATGCTGACTTCACTCGGTGCGTAACACTCGGTCGCATCAATGCTTGGAGTCTGAGGCTCATCCAGACTCCTCCGGCCGTAAAAAGTACTTTCATTGCCATTGGAAGAAAAAAATCTTCTTGCATTGAATGTAGGATTGTCATCAAGCGAATCCCTCAAGCGATACATTGGATATGATGTTGTTTGAGTCGAAAAACTTTCAATTTCAAATAAATCTGAACTTGCATCACTTCCCACATCGTCATCTATGGCTGCAACTCGAGACATAGGGCTTCCCGGCATTGTAAAACCTCCAATTAGACCTCGTTGAGGATCCACTGGAGTTCTTGAAATCGATTTCCTTGTTGGTTGGAAAACTTCCAACGAGTCACGAGGTGGATCTTCTAACGGACTGATTAGTTTTGGACTTATTCCTTTCAACGTAGGCTTAGTAGCTGGGCTAGAAGGGCTCAAAATAGGGAAAGAAAACGCCCCTGTGCCATCACCAAATGGCCTTCCTGATGATACGCGTTGTGGAAAAGCCGTGGTAGATGCAAAATGATTCTCTGATGAAATCCTTGGAGGATTTGAAGTCACTTTCTGTTGCATTTCCCTCATCTCATTTGGAACTGAATTTTTGAGTGACATATTTCTTGCCTTTCCTGCCATACTCTCTCTGGACCTTTGGCTCTCTCTATTTGCATACACAACACGTTCCGAGTCTGATCTTTCTTCTTTAACTTGTACACATTTCTTCCCACTGCAGCAACATTTTCTCCCAAAAATCCATTTCATGGCATTAGAACTTCTTTTCTGGCCATGATCAGGTGGAAAATTCTTCAGCTTAACTGCAATGGAACCTGGAGGATTTGCCAAAAGCCCCGTCTGGCTATTCCAACTGGCCTCAGACGAGGCTGTAGGCGTAGCGTGGAATGATCGTGTTTGAAAATTCCTTCCATATCCATCAATAGAAGAAACTGATGACAATCTTGGAACTGATACTGCATCAGATGGATCTGATGCATCTATCTGATTTGTTATAGACAGTCCTTTACTGTCTTTTGGATCATCGTTTTCACTGAAGTATTTCTGGGCTTCAAAAATGCTTATCTCAGTGTCATTTTCTGGGGAATTCTGTTTAGGTTCTTTGGGTTTAAGGTAGGATGAAAAGGATGCATCTGTAAAGGTATTTTCTTGAACGACAGATCCATTATGAAGAGAAGTATCTGCAACACTAAACATTGGCTGCTGAGGGGAATTGTACTTCAAGGTTTTGATTATAGTTGGTGTCCGTAACAGGTAAAACACACACTTCTCTTTGTAGTATATAATAGAACTGATTATTGAGACTGAAGTGTTTCTGAAATTCCTGACCACACTGGCTTTATGTAGACCGGCTCACTTAGAAGAAACTATCAGGTGAAACAGTCTGTAGCGTTAAAATTAAGCAAAATTTGGGACCCTGACTTTTATAAATAAAGTACGTGGGACTCCGACAGGTTATTTATGGTCTTCAGTCTCCAAAATTTCATTCTCTGTGAACGTTAGTCCCCTTTGGATGAAAACCATCAATTTCTCTATGAAAAATGCATGCAAGTGAGGCTTACTTGCGAGTTATTTTTGTCGATGCACTTCATATACATTTAAAAGAGGGAAATGAAGTTATATCTTTATGTATTGGACTCTTTCTTGTCTTGTTTTAAATGTTTTCTCAAGAAAACAAAGAATGTTAACTTATTGTACAATCAGATTTCATTTTGACTACAACTTTTCTTGGATCACAACTTTTATTTATTTTTTAATCCCACATTTTATGAAATTTATTAGCTTATAATCTGAAAATGATTCGTCAAACAAGGTCTAAATGATAATAGTACTTGACTGTTTGACAGAATAATCCCTGATTTTTATCTATTTTTGACCAATATGCACTGAAAATGAGTGTCTAGAGATTCAAAAGCTAGAAAATAATGATTGCAATTGGAGACACGTGTAGGGGTCACAAAAGAACCGGAACTAACCAAATCAAGTCAGAACAGACTAGTTTAGTTCAAATTTGCTTAAGGTTTTAAAATTTTGGATAACCTAAACCTCTCCTCGAAAGATAGTTGTCCATACACTGATAATAAATTTATGGATTCTCGAGAAGAGAGAACAGATCAATTTTGGTTTGATTTCAATTCTAGTATCAAGAACCAAGAATCGACTTTTAACTCGTATATTTAAATTAATTGTATTTACTTTTTAATTTGTTTAATGATATTTAGGCATAAAAATGAAACTTTTTCATTGCATTGAATGAGACACAATGTTTTGATTTTGGATGTGAGTGTTAACTTGGTGATAGAACTTTATATGTTAACTTGTATTAATAAATTAGAAATTTTGATTATGCAACCAAATTGGAACCTGTCATTTAGTTTTGGTTTGGTTCCATAACTACTTATGAAACTAATGGTCCCATTACAAGACAATCATTTGCCTCTCAATTTGGTTTCAGTTCTCTTCAAAATTAAATCAAATGGAACCGTGCCAACCCCATCCACGTGCTTTATTTGTGTTTCGGTTCTCTTCAAAATTAAATCAAATGGAACTGTGCCAACCCCATCCACGCGCTTTATTTGTGTTTGTTTAAGGTGTGTAACTGCAAATTTCCGCAAAAGTTTCCACACAATACTTCCAATCTTTCTCCAACCTAAGAGATAGAATTTTGTTATAATTGAGATCATGCTGTGTTTCTTATGGTCCTAAAGTAATGCATAATTGTACTACAGTAGAATAAAGGGACCCTCTTGAGAACAAGAGATCGAGAACTTGCTGCCTAATACATGAATGTTATCTGAATGGTTCATGTCATGACATGTCATCAAATGTGTAGTTCCTTTCACCAACAACCCGATAATTGCTCTTCGTACAATTTTCATACCCACTAGAACTTGTGTGTAAAACTGTTTTTTTTCATAACAAACTTGTACCTTCTCTATTTACTCAAAAAATACTTGGAAATTATTTGTCGACACGGTTGTTGCTTCCTCTTCTGGGAAGTGTAAGAAATAAGAACCCTCAGTTAAATGAGGTAGAATCCACTTAAGAACTAGTCATTTTTGAATTTTCGTTAAAAGTAAGACATCATGGCTTGTCATAGAAAGATTCTAATCTTTTCAGCAGCAAATTGCATTGATTTTCAAAGGGCAGGGCCATGGTATTTAATTGACTATAAACATCAATCTTTTTGTCTGTTTCTTGGACAGCAGATCAAAGCTAGGCTATCAAAAAGATAATGGCTTTAGTCCATCATTGAATTTTCATTGTTATCTCATTACTTTTTGAAAAGAAGGCTCATTGCAAATCATTTGAAAAAAAAAAACCTTTTTTGGTAACTCTTATGACCCCTCATTTCATGTGGTTTCTCTGTTATCTTGTGGTATCACTGCATGCTGTTCTCTGCACAATTTGAACTGTGGAGGGTCCAAAATAATGGCTAAACGATTTGAAATTTATCTAGGACATTCTAAAATAGTATTAAAAATAAGTTATTGTGGCCATGCTCACCTGCATTAGGAATTTGTGCCAAATTTGTGGGGGCAGCAATTATCTCAGAAATAACATGATTTTGCCGTGTTGGGACATCTTCATGTGTTGTTAGGTTGGGCCCCTGATATCATGTCATACGTAAAAGTTGTACTGAACTAAATCTTGAAATATTAGTCTTTTTTGCAATTTAAAAAAAGAAAAGGAAATTGGAATAGTGAATAAACTCTATCAACAACAGAATTTCCATCGATAAAATCAAAGAAAACTATAGTAGTTTAATCCAAATGAAAAGTCTATCACAAGGGACTTCAATAGAATTTCATGTCAAATTTTGTGCAAGTTATTTGTGGCGTTCTCGCTCGAGATTGTTCGTGTCAATTGAAGTCGACATCCATTTGACCAGAATCCCCCCTCCTATGTAGCAGTGGCTATTTTGAGTAGCTTACAAATCAATCCAATGCTTGCTCATTTGAATTTCATTTATTGATGACATTAGTTAAACTTGAAAATGATTAAAACACTACATTGTATGAATATCAAAGTCAATTGAGCTTAAGCAGGATAAGGGTCTTGAAAAAACTCATTCAAACTTGACTTAAACAAGATAAATAAAAGTCATTTTCTGGTTCAATTTGAAAAGTCGATTAAAATCTATATCAAATTCAACAATTAATTTCAGTTATATTTTTTGGAATTCTCGACTTTTGAACCACACATTTCATTAATTTTTATCAAAATTTACTAAAAATATGATTTTTATCTAAACGAAAGAGGAGCTAAATATTTCTTACTTATGTTTCATACACAACGCTGTTTTACACCATTGTGATGGGTACACAGTGTTGCATAAATTTTAACTTAGAAATAAGCTCAAATTTAAATCAATTTGCTAGATAAACAAATCAAGCTTTGATAAATTTTAGTGGTTTTTTTTTACAGATTAAAGTATGTTTCAAAGGAAGCTCAATAAAGTAACTAACTTAAGCTTTAATTCAAGTTTTAATTGTTAAGAAGAAAGCCATATATGAATAACCCGACCCGACCAAAGGTCTGCTCTTTGAGGGGAAAAAAAAAATAATTCTCCCCAACAATCCAGTGCAAGCAATCGATGTGGAATTTTTTCTCCCCCAAATTGTGTCTAACTATGGGGTACTATCTATATGGCAGAATCACAGGGCCAAAATTTTCACAAATCTCAAATGAAGGCTTTTAGGCCTAACCTCAGCTATTTCTGGAGAAAGGAAAGAAGGTCGGCCAAAAATCCCATCAATAGATTGAACGGTGAAAAAAGGATCAAAGGACGAGAAGGGTAGTTCAACCTAATATGGACCAATAATGGATGGTGCCCGCCAACTGCTTACCACCCTCAAATTCAATTCATGACCTAATGTGCTCTATGTTTCAACCACCGTATTTTCCCTATTTTCTTTTAGTCAACAACTTACCAGGATGGTAGAAAGTGCGAATCTTTGTCACAATGTTAAATCCCATCTACACAAATGTTGGTCCCAAAGTTCACAAAGAACACAAAAACTAAGTAAAAGTGTAAGAAATAAAGAAACAACACCAAGGATTTTTACCCAAAATGGGTCCGGATTTTCAGTCTTAGGCCTACTCACCCGTTGAGCATCCACACAAAGGGATTGAGTTCTAATTCCACTAAAAATCACCAAGAACAGATTACAATGTATGAAGAAATCACAAATTTCTTCAATATTTCTCTCGCCTCAAGAATCACTTAGAAATTATACNGAGAATATCTCACAAAGTCACTCCAACCGACACCAGAAAATGAAGTTTCGAGAATCACTTAACGCAGGAGATCAAACGGTTCCAATCAACGGTGAAGATCTGGCCAAATGTAAGGCCAGATAGCAGAGCCCAAAAAGAAACGATTCTGGGCCAAATGAAACATTACAACACAGGCTCAATATAACCAACAGGGCCAAGTAATTATGAGGCAGCCCAAACATAACAACAAATTTATTCAACCTTAAAAAATCTCAACAAAATAAAAGATTTACATCGCTGATTTCTTATCTAACTTTTTTTCCATTAACTACACACTCGAACTCGAGAATAGAACGTAGCAGAATATAACCCACAAAGAAAAGTGCAACATTATGGAATGAAAAATGCATTACAAACTAAGAGTAAAAGGATATGATATCGAAAAACATTTGTATGGCAAAAATTTCAATATGTAGACATTGACATGGAAGCCACTTCACAACAGCGTACAATAAAATATCAAATTAATGAATACACTGGTAAATAAGCACAGATTTTCTTAGAAGTTGGTCAAAGTCTTGCGACTCAGAATTGGTATCTAAAACTTGTTCCATGGAAGAACAACCATGTGTTCATGCCTAACTGGGGAGTCAGGTAGTGCAAGTTAAACACCTGAACCAAAATGTCGGGTCGGTGGTGTAGGCACCGAAGTGAATGTAAAGCAAAGCAGCATGGTGCTAGGCCATACATGGGTCAATAAATGCTTTGCATGTATATTTGCAATGAACTCACGGTTTTTTTTTCTAGTATTCCATATTTACAAACATGTTCTATAAGATTCTACTCAAATAGAAAAAAGCACATAGTTAAGGTAATTGTACATTATTCTTTTAGAGCTACACAGTTAGGTAAGTTGCAGCATATTGTTAAGATGCACATATTTGCACCCATTGAATAAAATATTCATATATTGCAGGGTACAAGGTATGTAGTTATGTACATGAATGCATGTGTGAGTGTATGTAATCTCTGGTTATCTTATATATCTAGACCCTGTCTGGTAAAGCTTTTTGGGTGGATTTTCATCGTAAATAAGACCGTTGGGCCACAATAATTGACTTCCACTCTCTCACGCGGGCCCCACTAACGTTCCATTTTCTGATTTTAATTCATGAAAAATCAGGAACAGAAACCCCCTATAATAGTCTTGTATTCCATTGTAAATACTACATAGAAGTACTTTATTTACATAACCATTTTTCCCTTGGCCAAAACTTTAAATACCCGAAAACCTCCGAAACACCAAAAACTCTGTTCTGTGTTACCTCATTGGTACCAAACGCAGCTTCACGACTGTTATATTGGACTATCTTCACTTGTAGATCACCGCCAATTCAATAGCCATACAAGAAACCGTAATTTTTTACCCATTCCTCTTCTCGAGTCACCAACCCCTCATATAATCATATCCTAAAGTCTTTTGATGCCTATTCTACATTCTTTTGGAACATTTTTCTGTTTTCCCCAAGTATGGCGTCACCCAGAAATTAGATTACAAGAAAACTATTCAAAAGAAATGGACAAACATTTCAAGGAACGTAGCAAGGTTCCAACTAAAAAATACCATTTGCAGTGCTTATTATGCATCAAAATTGAACAAGTCCTAGTCCTCAATCAGGTTCATCCGAAGTAGACAAAGATAATGACATGAAAGAGGCTTTCATGGCTTTCTACTCAACTTTAAGAATAAAAAAGAAAGGGCAGAAAAGAATGGGAAACAAATATATTATTTCTTATTTGGCACTGCCATAAATTAGTCTTCTAATAATAGTATATGAAATTCACTTGAACTTCTGAATGTCAGAAGAGTCACAACGCCAATAAAAGAAGTTACTTCTTCGATGCGCCCATATATATCTGCACAATGACCAAGTATTATGAATGTATACACATATATATACCAATTCGAGGAAACAAATTTTACAATCAACTTTTAAAAAAACTAGTCAAATATCGAGAAGGAAAGAATTAGAGCCAATGCATTCACATATATAAATTTGGGAAAACGATTTTCAAATACTAACCAACTAAAAACTGTCCAGTCTTGCTAGGGATATCCACCTATCTAAAGATTCTCTAGGCAACGAAAAAATGTGTGCACGGTCTTAACAAGCAAGCAGAACCATATTACAAAAGGAATAAACACATTTACAAATAAGGAACTCTAGCACAATAAGCATGAATGCATCTCAAATATACCTGTGCAGCATCTATTTACCCATGTAAGGCCTAGCAACACGATACTTCCTGCTTGAACCTTTTTCTCCTGTCTATTGCTTTAGATATCCACCTGGAGTTACATATGCTCCCATTACGTTCATTCCGGAGCCCATATGAAAAATTGGCCAAACACTCTGATCCCCATAACTCCCTTGCACTACCTGACTCCCCAAACCAGGCATAAAAAGCATGTTTGTTCTGTTGGAAATGGTTTAGTGAAATG